TATATATATATATATATATATATAATATCAATTCTTTCTTGCTTTTTCTGCTTCCTCGACAAAGAAATTCGCGTTTCCCTGAATGTTTGTTTTGTTTTCTTTCACGGTTTAAAGGATGTTCACGGAGAGAGGATGTTCGTGGACCTATCGATACGCTTTCTCTCTCTCTCTCTCTCTCTCTCTCTCTCTCTCTACCTAATCCCTCGTATCTCGTACAATAATAATTTATAATTATCTATGATAATATAATATATATATTTATAAAAAGCATCTTAACAATAGTGACTGTGAACCGGTGCGTGGAGGATTCAGCGTGAGGATTCAATTCGATTTTTTGTGAGCTTTGCCGGAGCTCGATTCGGCGGAGCTAGCTACCCATTCTCATCCCGATCATATATATTTGTTCCTCTCTTTCTTTCCCTTTTCCATTGCTTACCCTAAAAACTCTGCAACAGCACCATTCCTCCTGCTCTTTGGGTAGACGCGTCGAACCGAGCGAAAATACAGCGTTGGTTTCTCTCTATACGTAGCTGTGTCGTCTACGTACCCCTAAAGATTCCACTAGGACGCGTGGCCGACATTAGCCGCGGCGGGGTTCCCAAGGGACGCGAAGTGATGCACGTACTTATTGCGGTGATTCCGAAGAAAGACCGTGTTCGAGCTGGACGTTTCCGACGCGTCCAGGTCCTCGTCGTCGTCCTCCTCCTCCTCCTCGTCGTCGTCGTGGATGGTGTCGCTGCTGGGGCTGCGACTGAGCGGCGAGTCGCCGACGCTGTTCGACTGAGAGTGCGGCCTGCACTGAGAGTGCATGCCCGTTGACATGGACAGGTCTTCCGGCTCGGTTTGCTCCGGCAGATCCACCGGGATACCGGACAGATTCAACGGTATCGGCATGGTGGCGGTGACGACGGGGCTCGGTAACTGACGACGATGCGCCGGTCTCATCGACGTGCTCGCCTTTTTACTGACGTGCAACGACGTTGCCTCCGGCTCGTCCACCTCCACGTCGATATCAATATCGATGTCCTCGTCGAGGTCGTCGCTGGCCAAAGACGGCGAGGCGACCTGCGATCTCGCCATTTGACCAGAATTCACGTTGCCGGTGCCGCATTTGTGGTGCATCAGATGGTGCCTTCGTCTGAATCGCATCTGACAGTGCTCGCATTCGAACGGTTTCTCGCCTTTGTGGATCAGCAGATGAGCCTTCAGCTGGTTCGAGTCGCTGAACTTCGCCGCGCACAGCTCGCACGCGTACGGCCGCTCGCCGGTGTGCACGCGCAAATGGCGGCGCAGGTTCGCCACTTGGACGAATTGACGGTCACAGTGGCTACAGTGGTAGGGCTTCTCGCCCGTGTGTAGCCGCATGTGCGTTTTCAGGTGGTGGTCCCGCGTGAATCTACAACAACAACAACATCGACATTTCCTTCTTAGCGAGTTGAACACATTCCAAGTTCCTAATCGTTCAACGATCATCGTTTTTCGTAGTTACGATACGAATGGAATAACAGATAGTAGAGTTGACAACGATATACAGCGTCTGTAGTTTGCCAAGTACGAACAAAATTGGTAGAAAAAGAAATTCTAGGCGCAGTGGATGTCGAAAGTATATATATTTGACCTTTGATCGACGGAATAAATATCTCGATACTGTTTTCTTCAAAGCTGCTACGCTGACTGTTATCCGCGGCCGTTTTTCAGATACGTTTCAAATGGAAATATCCTGCCCGCAGATTTGCATCTTCGGCATTCTGAATAAAGAACAGTGGCACAAAGTAAACGCCAGGCGAGGAAATAAGAGGGGTGGGCAGGGGGAGGGGGGAGGAGACCGTCAATAGGATGGAATTCACGGTGAAGTTTACTTTTCAATGACTTTAACCACCCAGCCTAGTCCGTTTTTATCAAAGCTGGCAAATTAACGCCGCGTTATCTCGAAGGAATTTCTACACGTTGTTGTAGGAAGAAACACTTGAATTCTCTATCCGA